TGGAGGGGCTCCGCCGCCCCCCGCCGCCCTCGGGTTGCGTGGCTTCCTTCCCCCTCCGACGGCCTTAACGTCGAGAACATCTTGTGCGACATATCCGACCCCGCCGATGCCCTAGCCAAACTGTCCCCGCTCACCGACGTCACCCATATCTTCTACGGTGCTTGGGCAAATCGCGAATCCGAGATCGAGAACATCGCCGCTAACACCGCTATGCTCCGCAATGTCCTCGATGCCGTTCTCCCCTCCGCCCCCAGTCTCCAACACGTTTGCCTCCAGACAGGTCGCAAGCACTACCTCGGCAGCTTCGAATCCTTAGGTAAGGTCAAGCCGCATGATCCCCCATTTCACGAGGATCTTCCTCGTCTCCCTGCCCCCAATTTCTACTACGCACAAGAGGATGTCCTATTCGACTCCCTTCGCAGCCGCGACGGCGCAGTCACTTTTTCTGTTCATCGTCCCTCCGTCATCTTCGGGTTTTCACCCACCAGTCTCATGAACATCGTTGGTTCGCTTTGCTTCTACGCTGCCATCTGCAAGCGAGAGGGCAAGCTGCTGCGGTGGCCCGGGAGTCGGATCGCTTGGGAAGGGTTCAGCGATGCTTCCGACGCCGATCTGATTGCTGAGCAGCAGATCTGGGCGGCTGTGGATCCGTTTGCGAAGAATGAAGCGTTTAACTGCAGCAACGGGGACGTGTTCAAGTGGAAGCATTTGTGGACCATATTGGCAGAGCAGTTCGAATTGGAGGCTGTGGGGTATAATGGAGAGGAGGAAAGGTTTAATTTGGAGGAGGCGATGAAGGGGAAGGAAGAGCTCTGGGACAAGATCGTTCAAGAGAATCAGCTTGCTCCAACGAGGCTGGAGGTGGTGGGTAACTGGTGGTTCGCTGACATTATGCTGAATGCGGAAGAGCACCTGGATACCATGAACAAGAGCAAGGAACACGGTTTTTTGGGGTTTCGCAATACTCGCAATTCTTTCGTTTCGTGGATTGATAAAATGAAGCATTGCAAAATTGTTCCGTAACGTTGCCCACCTTCTTCGTCTTTGCATTTCAGTATATTCGTTGTATAAGATGAAGCATGTATGATTTCTGAACTGTTGTGTTTGGAACTGTTGGGGTTTTCGAGAGGGTTAATATTCAGAGTCTCTCTGCTATGATTTTGTTGTTGTGGTTGGCTAAGCTTCAAGAAGGTAACTCTTATGCTTGTTATCATTTCAGTAGCCCATCAAACTTCATCAAATTTTTCTTAACCAATGTTAATAGAGGTGTAAAGTTTTGTGCTTAACTGCTCATTACGTTTTTTTTGTCTTTTCGTTTTTTTATTTAGGGTGCGTAAGTTCAATTTTGGTTGATTGGATATTTCCTATTCTTAGGAGCGTTCTTCTTGCAAACCTAAAACCAATTGTGTCAAGTTTACGTCAACTTCGTTCGCAAGGAGCAGTCGGCACATTGAACATATCATGTTGAACTTTCAAGAGACATTAGTTCATTGGTTCTAGGATCGCTTAGGATTAGAGTCACCTTTGTTGTGATGAGCTTGTGTTCGCAAGGAGCAGTCGGCACATTGAATATATCATGTTGAACTTTCAAGAGACATGAGTTCATTGGTTCTAGGATCACTTAGGATTAGAGTCACCTTTGTTGTGATGAGCTTGCCAACAAGATCAAGTTGTCCCAATAATAAAACAACTCAAAATAATTAAAGAAACCTGCTTACCTACTCGCCATAGAGGCTGACTAGATATATTCATCCAAGACTTTCAATGTTACAACTTTCTAGGACTCGGCCAAAGAGAATGAAGTTGGCTAATGGCTTCACATGGATCAATCTTATATTGAAAATATTGAATTCATATTTAATGCAGTTAAGAGCCACAACTAACCTATCCTTAATTCATGTAAATCTTTCATTAAATTGTATTCTATGATTTATATTTTCTTTTCCTTGAATGTAATACTTCTGATGATATTATGCTTCTACCCCTATATATATATTGGAGGTTGAGGGGAAGCCCAAATCACAATTTTTTATCTTGAACTCTCTACTTTCTTAAAATAAAATCATAGAATATCTCTTCATATTCTTCTTATGTCTCTTTTTCATCTTCTCATCTCTGGATCAATCTTGCTATTAAGATCTAGCTATCATCTATGGATAAATTTTAGATTCAATATCTTCTATGATAACAGAGTATAAATGATGCTAATGTTCAGAAATTAAGTTTTGCAACTGCAAAATCGAGAATAATTATACATAGATGCAGTTGTTGAGTCGTAGTACCAATAATTTGTCAACAACAGGCAACTCACCCAAATAAAATAATTAACTCACGTGGATGGCCTAAGGGCCCTTCAACAAACCCTTAAAAGCTCCCATCACCTCTATATTTTTAATAATGGATCCATAGATTCCCCTTTCTGCCAACAATTATGAAGTCTTTGCAAAATTTTTTTAGCCTGTGTGACCGATGAAAGTTATTAATTAGAAGGCAATGATGAAATTTTTATTGCTTGAAGGGTTGAGAAATACATGTTTATTTTTTAGTACGCCTATTCCAGGAAATATGTTGAGGCACATTTTCATGACGAAATTCAAAATACTCCACCTAAATTTTTACAAAGGGAAGATAAATCCAACTGATCACATTGACTACTTTGAGTTGGTCATCTCATTGAAGATCGAGTATACATTAAGAGCAAGATATACTTCATCACCAAAGAGTCACTTCGTCAGTGCAACTTTTTGGGAGTCTTTTTATTATGAAGTTTAGAAGTTTTTTAGGGCTAGATTTGTTAGGAAAGTATAATACTTTAAATTATTGTCAAATGTTGTCATGTTCTAAAAATCAAGCGAAAGGTGGACAATGTATCACTTGACCAACTTAAACTCTACTTACCCTGACGACAACTTTCCTCTTCTTTGAATCAATGTGTTGGCCAACTTGGCAATCAACTTGCTAGTCATGAGTTTCATGAATGCCTTCACGAGATATCATTTAATTAAAATGTACTCGTTCACTTGCAAGAAGATGGCTTTCATTGCTATTGTTGGGTTATCTTAGGATAACATGATTCCTTTTAGCCTAGAAAATGTAGGGGCAATTTGCTAAAGGATAATGGACTGCATGTTCGAAGACTAGAAGGGGAGAAAAGTTAAAATAGACATGGACAATTTGCTTGAAAAGAGCAAAACTTCGAAGAAGAACATTTTTGAATTTAAAGAAACTTTCTTTACCTTGAAAATATTACAATACGCTCCTTATCTCTCTAAACTCACCTTTGTCTTCTTGTTTAAAAAGTTTGTGGTATTTCTTCACCCCTGAAGGACACAAAGTTATGACAATTTTGAAATTGATGCCTGTAAAAAGAATGTCAAGCAGATATAACGACTAACGAGGGTAATAGTTGGGTTAACTCGTTTTATGTTAAAGTCAGCCAACAAGTGCTCACACTTATTTAAGACATTGAGGAGCATGAAGAATTTGTAGTAGAATGAGGAATGCCACAAGTCCTTCATGTAAGTAATGATGCTCTAGTCTTCGCTTCCATTGCTTTAAATTTCGTACGCACGATATGATTTATTCTTCTATTTCAACTCCAGTCTTCGCTTCCATTGCTTTAAATTCCATAGGTACGATATGGTTTATTTTTCTATCTCAGAGCTAGAAAATAGGCTGTAAGCTCATTCTTTAAAAAAATTGATATAAGGAAAAAATGGATATTCTTTCATTGATCTTTTTTTGAGGATAGTTCTTATAAATGTCATTCTTTCGGGAAAACTTTTGAGGTGTTTAGCTGAGTTAGTTAGTTTTGAATCTCTCTTTCATGTCAAGGGTTGGTATCAAGGGCGAGATACTATTCGACTTTTTAGCAAGTTTCACCCTGCTTGAAGCCAACAAAAGTCGCTATTGAGGGTAAATTACTTTTGACTCTTTATAATGATGGAATTTTGTGGGACTGCAATGCACTTTTGGAGTTTGTATACAGCATCTCATCATCTTCTCAAACTTTGAACTCATAGTTTGCAAAAAAATGACTAATGTGAGGCACAAGATGAAAAATTAGACACCTATTTAAATTCTTAGAAATTAAAACTAATTTGTTGATTTGTTGTAAAAAAGTGAAAATGATAGAATGTTGTCTGTACAGTTAGGTTGGCTTTGCGTTGAAACGGTAACAGGTATGGAGGCTAAAGCCAAAATCGTTTTAAGATGGGTGAAACCTTTCATTAAATACTTAAATACTTGGTTATTTTTGGCTAATTTCGAGAAAGAATGCCAAAGAATTTTTCAAAATATGCATTCAATCTCAGAACTTGTCCTAATGCAACTCCAACCATTCTATAGGCTACAACTAATCTATAGTCCATGGTTGCATTGTATGGGAATGGACTTACTCCACCCTACTTCGAGTGAGTGGACAAAAATATTTCATCTTGATGATGTTTGACTATTTCATGAAATGTATTGAGGTCAAAACCTTGGCGAAGACTACTATCGAAGTTATTCGCAACTTTATCTTGACTACTATCATTTGTCAGTAAAAACTATCAATAGAAATTGTTATTGGCAGCGGGCCACCACATTTGGACATAAAAATCAAATTTTTTTGTCGAAACCAAGGCATTCATCTCAAACATATCGTATCGAACCATCGAAAAATGAATGGCCATGTACAAGCAACAAATAAGCAAAACCTTAATTTACTTGGAAAGAAGGTTGAGAGAGCTAGAGGCAAACGGGGCCAAGGCTTTTCTCTCAATACTTTGGGATATAAGCACATCATCTTTTGGTCTATTTGCCAAATGCCATTTGCACTCACTTGTGAACAAAAATCATGTTTTTAGTGGAATGTAACATGCATTGATACAAAGTGATGGCAATGTTAACTTCTGAAGAAAATTTACTCAATAAGTGGAGTAAAAAGAATCAAGCTGGGCTGCTAACCTCTCTTAAACTAATGAGGAACTAACGATCCAAGCCACAACAAGAAAAAAATAAGTCAAGAGCAGAGTCTCCAACCACCATGATTCTAATGTTCATGAGAAAGCATTCCATGTTGGGAACCCCGTTCTGACAAAAGTCAATACAACCGCTTGATGGTTTGCAGTCGCAAACTTGACTTGAATTATAAAAGGACGTACATCATTAAAGGCTAAGTCTGCTTGAAATCATAATGATTAGTGATTACAAACCTGCATTATAAATGAAGTACCTAAAACTCATAGTAGATATGACCTCAAATTTCTGCACCCTTTAGAATTAGGAGAGTGCGTTATTGACTATTTTATTGTACTCAATTTTTTTCAACAAATTATTGAAATACAAATTTACTTTGTGTTTGTTTATTTTACTTCACAAAAAAATAATGTTTTATTTTGTAATGCATCTCAAGTGTACTTGACAAACCTAAATCATACTATTTAAGTTCTCAGAGAACTGATTCTCATCAACTATTTCAATAAATTTGATAGTCAAAATGATTCGGGGAACTTGTTTTCTAGCCAATGAAGTTGCTCATCATCAGGAATTTGGGTAACTTGTCTCTCACTTTAATTCACCAATTTTGCACTCAGTGAACTCACTGGGCTAACTTCACATCATGCTCTCTTTTGAAAATCCACCAATAAGTCTACTTGTCATGAATATTAAAATCTCATCTCCAGTCTCAATTAAAGAATTTGTTGCTTGCTCATATTCAATAACTCGGACAAGCCGGCCCTTCACTATATTTACCCCACCCACTGTAGTGTGACTAGTTTAGCGACATCATCCTCTATGAACCCTAGTCAAATGGTTCCCTAATGTAATAACCTGTTTGCTTGGTCCACTAGGCACTAATTTCATTAATTTCACTAGGCACTAATTTCATTAATTTCATTGACCTGATTGGCTATTAACCCTAATGTAATAACATGTTTGCTTGGCCCATTAGGCACTAATTTCATTGATTTCATTGACCTGATTGGCTATTAATTTATGATGTTATTCATTCTCTCCTTTTACATCTTCTTATTCTTGGCCTCCGCCTTCTTTTTTCTCTTCATCATTTAGGTGACTATAGCGCTTCCAAAGGAGGCTTTACCTGAAAGATAGTAAGAGGTGCTTCTCAAACATCTAAGGAAAATGAATTAA